GTGTGGCCCTGGGCAACACTTGCCGGTGGAAACAATAATTTGTCGACGCTCATAGAAAAACTGTCGAGGACTCGGCAAGAGGTGTTGAAACGGTACCACTCTGGTTGAAATCGGGTGACAACAGCCGGCAGTTGCGTTACATCAGGACCGTATTGTTTTTGTTTGATTTTTTTTTAATACCGTTAACTAGCCCCCTTTTTCGAGCGGCCGTAAATACAAGTAAAATTGTAAATCCTCCCAAAAACTCTCTAAATTTAGTCTAGTCAAATAAATCCGTTTGTCTGTGCAAAGGGAACAACGCGTGTTGTCCTCGCCACAATAATTTAACTCGATAGAAGTCATATGTAAAAGTATAAACCGTATTAGAATTATTTATACATATTTATAATAACAAATATAATACTAACTCAGCTGCCAAATTTGAACACACTATCGTAAGCACGATATGAAACGAAAAAGCTAACTCGGTGTAGAAAAACAATCCATCATGTTTTGGTCGATGCTTTGATTATAATACATATTATTATAACAAATTTGGTTTAGTTTTGTTCAGTATATTCCTGGAAACCACCTTGTAGCCATTTGGATACTGAACACGTTTATATCACATCCTACATAGATAAACAAAATTTAATTGGCCAAATTGCGATTTTAAAATACTCAAGAGGGAGCGGTAAATATCAGCTGCAACCTTACAAAGCCAATGGGCTTGAAGATGCAGCCGTCAGTCAACTAAGTGGAACAAAAACATATTATAATATACTTACTATATTTTCTTCCTGATTTCGATTTTCTATTGGATTGCTATTTGTCGTGATACTCGTTTTCTTTTTTAAATCCGAATATGAGTATCGAGTGCAATTAAATTATATTTATTATATTAAGACGTAATGTAGTCATCGGGGTAATTTATTATTGACCGGGAAATGCGTTGTTCTAAAAACGACCTAGGTCCGATTGCGGTTGTTTGTATAGGTTTCAGTGCGTTTTTCGGCGATGTGCTTTCATTTTTTGGCCACTGAGCACGCGGTCATTTTGGTCGATCGCAATTTCGCCGGTACGGAAACACAAACAAACCGACCCAAGAGAGGTTATTAATTGCTTAGGAGCTTTTGTTGTCTTTGAAAACATTTTGGCCGCAGGGGCGGACGCGGTTTTTCCGAATCTTCTTCCCTCGACCGCGGGAGAATTTTTTTTTTCCATCATCGCAATACCGTAACGTTCTCCCCATAAACCACCGAGAGCCGTCTCCGTCCGTCCCTCACTCGTCTCTCCTATATTGTCTGCAAGCCATTTCCATTTATATGCGAGAAGCCCCCGCACTTTCGGGGTAAAGACAATCGGAAGAATAACAATAATAATTTTACGATCTCCGCCGCCATCGCTGGCAACAATAGACCCTCCAGACATATCAATTAAGTTTTGAGCGTACACCCAAACGTCACAGACCGCATATGAATAATTTAAATCCTTCTCGGGTCTCTCTCGCTTTACCACGAAAGTCGGATTGCATTAGCCTCCATAATACAGAACAAAAATATAAACGTAGGAGACTACCGTGGTTATTAGCTATCGTCAGCTAATATTGATGTATTTTTGCGGAGTGAGTGTCATATCCATTTTAAAAATATTTCCTAGAAAAAGTTTTGCAACTGTTTTAAAAATGTAATAACTTCTTTTATTGTATTTAATAACAGATAAGACGTTTCCCTTAAAGTTTCATCGTCATTTAATTTCCTTGTAGTTATTATTCTCAAGAACTATTACGGACCGAGTAGAACCAAATGTGCTGTGTTGGCTTTGGTTAAAATTTAACGAACAACTTCGTTCGCGGGCGCTGTGATTGTTTGACGGGTTCTAACTTAACTGTACATGATAATTGCAAACTTTAACTTAATATTTTTCGGTAAAATTGCCAATACGGAAGTCCTATTGTAGTAAATGGGCGGTATAACGTCCTCGTCATAGATATAACACATTTTATAAGCGGTCCATCTCTATATCGTTGTTCGGTATCCACGACCCGAATCTTTACAATTTATCGTGTATTTGTTTTAGAAACGTGTAAGTTAGTATCAACTATAAATCCCTAGCGCAGCTTCACGCCATCGAATTGTCACGTTACAAGCGTCCAAAACGATTTATGCTTAACACATTATTTTACCACGAAGAGCTTAGCGGCCATTCTTTTTAGATATATAAATAAAAATATTTTCGAAAAATGTGTTTCATTAAAACTATCGCTTTCGACCGTTATATTTTTACCGCGACGACAGCGACGGCCGCGGATTAAACTTTGGTTTTTTTATTCCGTCTTTGTTTTCGTTTCAGGAATTATTATGTACGTTCTGTGTTGCGCCGCTGCTGTGCATATGATAATATGTGTGAGTGTGTATGCGTGTGTGACAGTTATGAGCCGCGAAAGGGTACTTAAGGGGTTCCCGTAGGATTTACCGTGTACACAATTTAATATAAGGGGTCATCGCCGACGTCGTAACTCGTCCGGTTGGATTTAAACGTTTTGTATTAGCTTCAATAATTACCATAGCTGCGTGGCCTGTGCACTAGATGGATATGATATTAGGAAATCGACTGTTTTTTTTTTCAATTAAAATTTTTATCTTACCAAAAGGCGTGCAAAAAGATCAACGCTGACGGCGGTGGTGCTCTCGTTGACAGCCAGTGATCGTTTCTTTTTGATCCGGCACGGCAGCGGCGTTTTAAATTTACACTGCGACAGGACACATCTGGTGTGAGTGTATAGTATGTGTGCGGACATAATTTTATAGGAAACGCGACGACGGATTTATTTCCATTCGGTTTAATAATCGGTCGACCGGACGCAAAAGTATATAGCCGAAAATAGACGGCGGAAACTCGCTAATTATTATATCACAACATAAACCAGAAACGACAGGTATCAAATACCGCTGTGCTACGCCGCTGTCGGTTTAATAATATTATAATCAAAAAGTTAGAAGAGTACCATAAGGTCGTGCGAGTAGGTATAGAAACCTTTTTAGCTATTCAACTAAACAATAAGTTATACAGTTATACCAGTACCTATCAGGTCTGTGTTTAGGGGTATGGTCTCTTAAGGGAGTGAAAACAGTTACGGTTGCCTTAGATTAACAATGATGGTTAACAGTATCACTTTAACCAATTATAAACTACAACTTCTTCATTTTTAAGAGATAAAAATTAATATTACCATTGATAAGTGTAACCGTAAGTAAGTAACCGTGGAATATTTCTTTATAGTTGTCAATGACATTAACATGTATAAATCATTATATCATAGTATATTTAGAAACTGAAGAGTATATAGTAAAGTACTGAAATAAACTTTGATGCTAAATGTCAATAGATGGTAAAATTAGTACGAATACACGGGAGGTGGTTTGGGGGCAGTTTGAAAAGAAGCAAAATGGAATGGTACAACGGGTAAAATAGATAAACATTGGAGTAAACTAAACAAAAGTATGTCTTAAGTAGGTTATTATACATAAATACACGGCAGATAAATATAAAAAAACGGTATTGGATAAGGTAAGGAAGGAGAACAAAATACAAGACTAAAACTTTTTGCGAAGTTGCGTAAAGTTGAATAAGATAATAAATAAATCAACAAGTTGTATATTAATTATTCATCAATAAATATGGCTTTTTATTCGTCGAATAACTTTTGTCTTATTTAATTTATATACCTATTATTTATTTGTAAAATATTATTTTAGATAGTTTAAAATGAATTATGAATTTAAAATAATTGAAATAATTAAGATATCTTTTTAATTTTAAGTAAACTGTTTTAAACAACTATTTTTCATACAACAAAATAAAATATTACATAATGTCATATCATATAATGTTATATTGTACAAAACTTAGAAAAAATGGTTGTTCTATATGCACCAATTATAATCACCTATGTCCTAACACTTTATGTGCCTTGTTAGTTGTTAAGATATACATAGGTACCATGCTTACCGTTTAAGTTTTAATTCATTAGTACTAAAATCGCTTATGTTGACTTCATTAGTGCCCACGCAGCACATTTGAATGACATATTGTATTCATTCTATCTATGTTGAAAGCTAATACTATTTAGATTGCAATTGACAGGCTTTTGGGGTTTTACTAATTGTGAGTAGTAGTGGGTTAAGTCCTTGCCTAAAAAGAATTCAAAATCGTCTCGTACTAGCGATTGTATTGTACTGTATTACATTTTTTTTTTTTTGTAAAAACAAAACACATTTCTATTCAAACGTGACACTGTATAATTCATTTCATTCGCAATACATTATAATATAATATTACAACACATACAATAGTTTTGTTTGTTATATACTTAATATACACGATGTTATATTGACACAATTCATATAATTTTGTCGATTATTGTACATTTACGAAGGCGGCTGTATGTAAAAGTATATAATATGAAGTATTATAATATGTTATACTATTATAAGCGCCTTTATGTCTGCACCTGCAACTCATGTTATTTTCTATTGCTGTCTACGACCGACGCCGCGGATAAACGTAACAAGCAGGACCCATTTTGGCCGTCATCGAACCCTTTTTGTGTTTACATAAAAACATGTATTTTATTTTGTGACGAAAAAAAACATTTAACTCGCCCTTCGTTGGGAAGTAATATTATTAAATCTATTGCTTTGTGGCAATTATGTAATAGATAAAATATGAAGATCACAGACCAGACAGCTCGACGCTTATAATATATAATGTACAACACAGTGTAAAATCATTATAAATTACTTTTTTTTTTTTTACAAGTTTTACACGAAGAAAACACAAAAATAATAATTTAGATAAACACAATATTATCTATTGTGACATTAAATAATCTATAGTATTATTTATGAAACGTGTATGACACATACAAACGTTATATAGTAAATTATGTATTATTAAACAGAGAAAGTCATATAATAGGTATGAAGACGAAAGAGAAACAAGACTTATCCAGAAGCGGTCAAAACAATACTGTATTCAGTCACTTACAATATTAATTAAATTAATAATAATCATAATAATAGTAATTAAACATATTATACTAAAATATACAGCCCAACTAGTCAGTCGTATTACTGCCTATATTACATAATATTATTACGATATTTCTAATAGGAGTCCAAACGATAGTAAACAATAAATTATACACAATAATTAGTTATTTCAATTAATATAATTTTCCTTATTATCGACACACTCTATAACTACTATTTGTATATACATTGTTTGCGCTTAATCCGTGAGTATAGACTATAGTATGTACATAAAAACGATAGAAGCAATAGTTTATACAACGCATTTATATACAACAATATTATGTTCAGAATAGGAGGCGGACGAAGAGAGACCTTAGACATGTTCTACACCAAAATTTTAATTAATTATATTTTTTTTTTTGGACAAATTGAAATAAATAATGTTTCTTATGGAATCCAAATTTAATCACAGCAAGTCTAGTTTTTTTATGTAAATAGATTTTTTCAACGTGTTGTGTATGAAATGGTTATAATAATTGTTTTCTTTTAAACGATTTCTGTTATCTGTTGAATTCAAAACTGGTCTAACAGTAATTTGGTTTTAGTTGAAAAAAAATTGTAAATAAGCTTTGTTACACTGTACAAATTTAACAATGTTCAAACACTTATATTTGTATTGACATATATTTTTTATGTCATAGTTTATTCGCTGAATTCAGTACCTATCTCGGAATTAATGGAGTATAATTAGTTTTTTTTGTTTGTAAAAAATGTCAGCTACAAAAACTTTGTGGATGAGGAAATCCGAGGAGAAATAATAGGATTCAGCGGAAAAACCAGATGTAATTTCGGACTAAAATCGTGTTGTGCTGTGTTGTTAGACATATGTATAATCACTATTTAATGAACCCAACCGTTGCGGTTTACCTATATACAAAATAATATGATGTATATTACATGCACGGATTTCAAAAAATTAAAAATGTTTATTACACAACAATATCGCATGAGAACGCTTGATTATTATTATTATTATTAACAAACGGACACTGCCGTCACCTGATAAGCCTCGGCGAACGTTTTTCGAGTGACAGCGGCGCAGGCAGTCGAGCAGGGACACGATCCATATGGTACGTGTCTTGTGGTGAATTTTTTTTTCTCAATAGTCTTTTCGGCCCGTCTCCGGCTTCCCCTTCACCGCCCCTAGTTCGCTTTGGACTTCTCACGCGGACGAGTACAATTTGTTCGTCTGACAGCAGTCGCATCTCTTGCACGTCGTCCTGGGTGAACAAAAAAAAAAAAAATAATAATAAAACACATGTCACACACGCTTTACTTTGCCGCCTACTTATGAACATTATTATATACATAAGTACTATATAACTACTGCCACTAATACCGCTATTGCCACCGTTATGCTAAGTCGGGCACTCCCGTCGTCTGGCCTAATATACCGATATCGATGGACCGGCGTGACACGACCACGACGTTTTTGATAGCGCCCAATACGTTATTATATATAGTGTCAAACGACCCTAACTCGGGTAATAGGTGACGAGGGTTCGATTGATTCCGCAGGAACAGGCCGATACGACGGTACACGCGGTTCCTTTAATTACTATTATCCTTGTTTTATGCACGGCTTTGGCTTTTTCAGGACGTTAGCCTAAGACGTAGTGTTTGCCCAGGTTGCTTTGCGATACAGCATCATATTGTTATCATATATACAGTTGAAATTGCATGAATTAAATTTAATCCTAATATAGTATAAAACTCATAATATACACAGGAATACCTGGATTTCCAATCAAAACTAATTGTAGCGTGATAAAAATAAATTTAACCAGACTTGATGTTAACTGAAAATAAGCCTATTATTTTTGGCTCAATATGATATAAAATAAATAATGAACGTTTATATTATAATTTATAACTACTAATGAAATCTGCTTGGGAGGACTTACATTTTTATTTTAAATAAATCCTATAGCGAAACTTGTGTTTTGACATAATTGTATTATGTAGATAAAAATGCTATTTTGAAAATTTGTTTTACTATTTTATTTTGCTTCCAAGGAAAAACTATAAAATGTATATCTACCATTTACGTCACATTTGCAATTATTAAATTGATATTATATTGCCACATCGTTTAGATATTGCTAACAATTAATCAAACAGGAAATGGTTTTATGTAATTGCAGTTAACGTTATTCCGTTATGAGCACATGCAGACCATGATATTATTTATGTAAAAGTTTAATCGGTTTACTATAGGAAAACAACAGTATTGTCATTACAATAATACACCAATGATGTATTTTTTCGAGAGTATAATATTGGGTTTGGTAGTGTAAGAGTATAGAGAAAAAACGTAAATTACCTGTAATTTCCTTATGAAAAATTAAGTTATTACTTACTGTCTAAACATTTATAATCCGTAATGACTAATACAAGTTGCATTTTATATTGGTTTCAATAATAAATTTATATTTTTTAATTTAAAGTTTAGTATTTTACATTTAATTTAATAACAAAAATCTTGACATTTCTAGAAAAAGGGAAATTAACATTTTAAATAATTTTAATCTTTGTTTTACATTTGTAGTAATTTTAAATTGTATTTCATAATAGCTGTAACGTATTATCATTTATGGAAAATGACATCTAATTTCATTTTTTAAGTCAACAAGTACCAAATTTTATACACATTACATTAAAATATTATGTACATATTTACCTAGGTCGAAATCACATTTTGCACAACGTGTAATAATAATAAAAATCGAAAATCCAATAATCTTTGTTTTATAATTTGACGATAATATCTGACATTATAATCCAAATGGTGACTTAATTTTTAAGTCCTTTACAATATAACTGCCATTAAAATTAAAATTATAGTTTATAATACATTTAGATTTAAAATTCATAATTTCCTAAAGTATTGAAGGAGAGTTTAAATTTCATAACTGCAAAAATTCGCTTTTTAATGTTAAATACAACAATTATTTAACTTGTTATCACTGTTTTTTGGTCAACACTTAATTAACAACATTTTGCAAATTTTCTACTATTTTAAATAATTAAAAGATAATTTAGAGTTTTCCGTATGAATGCAAGAAGAGAGGACTTACGTTAAAGCTGTGACGAGAACTTTACTGTGACGGGATTGGTGTCATGCGGTTGTTGTTGCTGCTGTTGCTGTTGTTGTTGCTGCTGCTGTTGTTGTTGATGTTGTTGGTAGTAGCTTTGCAATTGCGTGTGTGTTGGGGCAGTGGCGGCGGCATGAGGAGGATTTCGGAATCCGCAAGTGGCGGCAGTGGCTGCAGTAACGGGATTGGGCACGACGGCGTCGAAGAAGTCTGACGGATCGGCGCTGTACCAACCGGGTGGCCGGTGATGGCCGGTGGCCGCAGCGGCCGCAGCCGCAACGTACTGGTGGTGATGCGTGGCGAAACCGTCGTGGTGGTGTTCGGCCGCCATGTACCGGTGATGATGGTGGTGATGATGATTTTCGGTAGGCGAATCGTCCTGGTCGTATTGCAGATGATGGTGGTGATGGTACGCCGGCGGAGGCGGCGGTGCCGGCGTGTCTGTCGATTGCGCCACTCCGGGTTCCTTTTTCGGCTTACACTCGGCCAACTCTTTGTTGTGCAACAGCAACTTACATTGTTCCTCGGTGACTTTTTTTAGCATCAGCTCCTGTTGACGCTTGACGGCCTCCTCTTTTTCCTTGAGCGCGTCCTTCTTCTTGAACCTCCTCCTACGCCGCAGGTACGACCCGTTGTCGAACATGTTGTACGAGTCCGGGTCCAGCGTCCAATAGCTGCCCTTACCCGGTTTCTTGTCGTCTCTGGGCTGCTTGACGAAACATTCGTTCAAGCTGAGGTTGTGCCTGATCGAATTCTGCCAACCTTGTTTGTTCTCCCTGTAGTACGGGAACCGCTCCATTATGAATTGATATATACCGTTCAGCGTGCACCGTTTGTCCGACGCGTTCTGTATGGCCATGGCGATCAGGGCGATGTACGAATACGGCGGTTTGACCATATCCTTGGCGGCAGCCGCGGCCGCTGCAGCGGCGGAAGCGTGATGCGACGTCTGATGGTAACCGGCAGCCGCGTTGTATCCGTACCTGGCGTACTGTTCGTAAGCTCCGGGGTAAGGTACGCCCGTCGGGTTGGACGTGGCCGGGTACATACCTGTCCTGTAGTAAGCGTTCTGGTCGCCGAACAGCGTGTGCATTTTATGTTGTTTTAGGTAAGAACAAAAAAGAAAACTCGATAAAATTTGTGTGTGTATATATTTTATAATATAATAAAAAGATAATATTTTTCGCGCGCGTAACAATAATAATATTATAGTTTTTATAATAATATTATTATTATTATTATTTGTACGACGGGTCGCGGCCGGTAATTAGTTCGGGTGCCGAGAAAACTAGAACCGAGACACGGCGGCGGCGGCGGGATGTTTGCAATAAAAACAACGCGGTCGCCGCGGCGGCGAGCAGCAACAACAAACCCGGGGACGGTCTAATAAAAACAACCCGAAAAAATATCGGATAATCGGCGGGCTCGGTGCACGCACGCCAACATCGTCACCACCGCCACCACTTCACCACTACCGTCGTCGACGACACCACGCCCGCAGTACCGCGTTCGCCGTGAGTGCCGGTGCCCACGCCGCCAGGGGCCTGCGCGCCACCACCCCCGTCCGACGCGGCCGTTGGCCGCCGACCGCCGCGCCCACCGGCCAATCGCGGCCGCCGCCGTGTCCCCTCAACCACCAGGGGGGGTGCTGGCCGTCCGCGGCAACGTTTATCATTTATAGCTCACCGTCTATCTGGTTTTTTCTTTTTCGTTTTCGGTTGTCGTTAAAGTTTCTGGGTTTCCCCCACAATAGATTACATTTTCAACCCCACCCCATCCCCACGCTCGGCCGTTTTTAGTTTTTCGAGAGAAACGCAGAACCGCGCAACGACGCGCCCGGGGAGATTTTCTAATTTTAAAAACGGTTATTCGACAAAATCGAAAATCCATTTGGCGCCCACTCGCAAGCAAGCTCCGCCGGAAGGGGACGAGAAGAAATCGACCGCACCGCCGGCGCCGCACGTTGTCAACCGCACTCGCCTCTGCAGTTGATCCCCTCTGGATCGTTTTAACAATCACATTAAACGAACCGTATATATCACATTATTGTGTTGCGTGTGTCAGTTTCGTTCTTTTCGGCACAGACACATTCCGAGACGTCACTTCGGCTCATTTCGTCCATCAATATCTAAAAATCTTGAGGTGAACTCGATCTTCGAAATCATTCCGGTACGTAATGTAACATATAAAATATAATAATTATATCTTTTTTTATTGGTTAATGCAATCTGTTACAATATAATTTAGAACTTATAGCGCTATAGATATAATATTTACCAGATTTGACCGAGTGAAGAGACCTCCCAGTAGAGACACTTTGGCATTAATTAATTAACAATATTATTTACATTTATTTTTTAGTTTTACTAGCATGGACTAGTACGTCACGACACAAGTGTTTTTTTAATATATACCTAGGGTTACTAGGAATAGTTATCGGGGGGAGTTCAGAGATGAAAGGATTAGGATAATGACTTGTTAGTTTTTAGTTTTTTTGTGTATATAATGAGTGATTGGAAACGTAATATGCAGCTTTACAATCAGAACGTAGAACTTTTAGATTGCAATGTCTGGATATAATTATATCTAGTTAATAATATACGGATTACCAACATATAATCCCTACTTGTGTTACTTTCGGGGCGTCAAATAAATTACTATTACAATGTTAACAATTACATGCCAATTGCAATATATTATGAAAACCACAAGGCAAAAACGACGAAACCCTAATTCTTTTCAAACTGAGAAAAATGTCCTACCCCCTCCCTCCTTCTCGATGGCTATTTCATATGAATCAATTACAAGTTTAACTTCAGCGTTCTCTTTTGCCAATGGCGGCAGTGAACTTTATTGAGCACGACCAAAACAGTCAAAGTGTAATTTGCGATCTGCGTTATTAGTTTTGAAAGTTGTGGAGCAAGAGAAGGTTGTATTTTTTCCTACTCATTTGAATTTCTTTGTATGAGACAGTGCGAGACTGTCCATGTATTATTTTTTTGACTTTTGTGGTGTAATATTGTAAAACGATATTGATACCTACTATTTTCAATCATGTTATAATTCATAATTATGATATTTTATTGTAACCGCACTTCGCAGTCGCGCCCGTCAGCTAAATCATTACCAACTATAATGTTGTCACAAGGTTAATCGACATATCACATACCTTTGCACTTAATGAGTCCATATCCAATAAAAATAGTTATCGTTGTACGCCAATAGTGAATTATTTTATTTGTTTTTTTATCGATTAACACATTAGTTCATTGATCGATTGTTAGTCATATTTGTATTATTATTAGTTATACCATATTTTCAATCTACAGAAAATACTGAATGAAAATAAGAAACCGATTGAAATTGTTGCGCACATTTGAGAATCATGAATATGGAAATGGGAGTATCATAAATATTCTCTATCAAAATACCATAAACGCCTACACAATGATTTTATCGGTATTTCTACTTAATACAGGTTCGCATCGAAGCGTTTATTAGAAATTATTTTATCACTTTTAGTTATAACAGCAAGTGTAAGTGTGTAAGTACATTGAATTCGGGGCGATATAAAATTTAACGTTTTTTAATAACTTTAATACTACAAATGGTAGTCTTAAGCAAACAATGCGCGCGTGTCGGTGTGTTTTTGCGTGCAGTACTGACGCCCCAACACACAATATCTATACATTTAGGCATTTTAGATTTTGTTATTAACTAGTAGGCCATATAGCCGTTTTGTCAATTAAAATATCCGAAGTTATAAACGATTTAACATGGACAATTATTTCATCGGTAAGTTTTTAATTTTGTTAGTCATTTTAAACATAGAAAACGTTACGAGCGAAGACCTGACGGACCAGGTCGAACAAATTTGTAAAGAAAAACATTGGAAAAATATGTGGTTCGAAAAGATCAACTCCAAAAAGGGCTGGATGAAGAAAGGTGATCTATCAAGTCCAGATGTCAGTCACACGGCAGTGGAAAAGTTGAATATTGTCCCTTTATTGATGGGGTGCAGTTACGGACAGAATTTGAGTAACTTTCTTTGGTTAACGATCCATACAATTGCTGAGTGCAAAAGTGTGTCACAAAATAGTAGTAATGATTATGAAGATTGTTGGAAAGCATTGGAAACTAGTCTAAAAAGAGGTGCGCTTACTATTTACAAATTGTTATGCTCATTTAGGCAGATTGATTCTTTGGATGACAATATCATTCACAATCCATTTTTCGAAATGTTTTTGTCAATTCAAAGTTTTCTTGAAGAACAAGTTCCTAGTGTGGAGTACACAGAAGACACAGGGTTTAACCAGCAAATCACGGATTTTGCTATTTCCTTAGGTGTCCTTTTGAACTCTACCTGTGCACCAAAACACTATGTCTTCAATATATGGGATATAATGGCTGAATATGTCAGTCAAAACACCATCAAGGTTCTCTACAATTTTTATGTAAGCAGATTGAATTTTTACACAGGCCAAATAAGACTACACTTGCTGAGACTTGGTTTTCGTTACAAAGCGAGCACGGGCATACTTTTCATCACAGATCCTAACAAAAGTGATTGATATCAATGAATTTAGTAAGAAATCAGATAATATTTTAATTGTTTTTCTTTCTTGTAAAATTTTAAACCAGTTTAACCATATAACTTGTTTGGTTGACCACTCCTGTGTATTATAGTCAGTTCGTTAGTAAATGTCATCAAATACTCACGCGTCTGTATAATAAAGTTTTTCATAGTACATTATTATATACAATTAATTATTATTTTATTAGTCTTATACTTATTTTGCAATTCTTGTTATCCCCATAGCTCCTTCCACTGACCTCCACTGTGCTGTTAATAAAACATTAATAACTAGTGTATTCCTATTAACAACAATTGTTACTCTTGTACAGTTTTAAATCTAACTACATTAAATTCATGGCACTATAAATATTGACGATTTAATGACTTTTGGTATTAACACATGTCTTAGGCAAATAAGTGCGTGTCGGTTTGTTTTACGCGGAGTTCTGTCTTCTATTACGGTGCACATAATATTATCGAGTACTTGTGGTATTTTAGTTTTTGTGGTAGACTAGGCAAGTGATATTCGTTTTGTCAAAGCAAAAATCTAATTTCCAAACGATTCAGTATGGAAAAAAGTGTCATCTATAAGATTTTAATTTCGTTAGTCGCCATATGCATAAAAAACTACGCAAGCGGTTACACAAAAGAGGAAGAGGTCAGCCATCTTTGTAGAGAACTAAATTGGCGTTTGATGAGGTTCGACAGTATTAGATTTTTTTCGGGCTGGATAAACAAAATCGATTATTGTTTGACAAGCCAGAACTATCCATTAAGGTATAATTTGAAAACAATCCCTATATTGATGGGTTGCAGTTACGGACAATACTTGACTGACTTTCTCTGGTTAACGGCTTATACAACAACTGAGTGCAAAATGATGACACGAAATAGACATGAAAATGCTGGAGATTGTTGGACAAAGCTTATAAAGAGTGTCGAATCAGGTGAAAAAACTATTTTTAAATTGTTGGGCACGTTCGAACAGATTCGTTCTTTAGACCCATCGATTCGACACAGTCCATTTTACAATACACTGTCGCCGATTCAAAATTTTCTCATGATCCACGGACCCGCTGTGTACATTAGTCTCGATGAAGCAGAGGGCACAGGGTTTCAATGGCAAATACAGGAATATGCTAGGTCCTTAGGGGTGCTTTTGGACCTAGTTTGTCAACCAAACCACCGTGTCCTTACTATACCGCAATTAATGAATCAAGATGGAAATCAAAGTGCCTTAGGTGTGCTCTATCAAAACACTATAGGTGAACGCTACAATTTGTTTATAGACAAATCAAAATCTTGCGTACTATTCATAAGACAACACTTGATCGCACTTGGTTTTATTTACTCTCGTGGTAATGTTCATTTTACTCTTAGGCCTATTGACCCAAGAAGCTCATCTAACTCTAGCTAATCTAACTGTAAACAGTAAATTAGAAAAATAGATTAGATAACATTTTAAAAACTTTTTTTTCATATGAAAATAAATTGTAACCAGTTTAATAATTGTAATA